TGCCAACAATAAGATGGTTAATTTGTTTCCACATTAGATCTAATGAAGAGGAGACTTGTTCACGAAGGTACTGAAACTGTTCACTCAGGTGTTTTAAAGTTACTTCACCTTTTGGTGATTCCTTAATTTGTGCTTCCAACATATTAAGGCGTACTCTTCTCCATTGTGGCTTGTGTTTTCAAAACTTCAAGGATGGTTGCCATTTTGTATGTGTAACACAGTGAAACAGTGAGAGATGTGGTGGCAGCTTCAGGCAGGTATTTAATTAATTATTATTATAGCATAAGTTACTATTTTAACATAAATGCACTTTCACAATAAATAATATGTTTTTATTATTTTAAATAAAATTTAATTAAAGAGTAAACAACACACAGCTGTTACTTATTCTCTGCCTACCCACGAAAAAAATAAATAATAAAATATCAAAAATATGTGCGAAGTATGCAGATATTTTCCACCTGCCAGGTGATAAATTGACAACGACAGAGTGATTAAAACATTCTCTTAAACTACAAGAAGGCGTTACTCCCGTGTATGTAAAACCATACCGGATTCCGGAAACTCAACGAAATGAACTTGTTAAGCAAATAAAAAAAATGATAGATGAAGACATAATCGAAGAATGCACAAGTGAATGGTCTTCACCTTTACTTCTAGTTCCGAAAAAAGATGATAATAGTGGCGAAAAGAAATGGAGAATGGTAATCGATTTCATGCTACTAAATAAGAAAATCATAGATGAGAAATTTCCATTACCTAATATAACAGAAATATTAGACTCTTTATCGGGATCAATATATTACTCACATTTGGATTTATCTTCAGGCTACTACCAGCTTGGCCTTGATGAGGATTGTAGAAAATATACTTCATTTACTGCCGATAAACAATATCAACTAAAAAGATTACCTATGGGGCTAAAAACAAGCCCGAGTGTATTTTCGAAGCTAATGACTATTGCTATGACTGGATTAAATTATGACAAATGTTTTGTTTACTTAGATGACATTGTGGTTATAGGGAAGAGCTTGGCTCATCATAATAAAAATCTAATGGATGTTTTTGAACGATTAAGAAATGTCAAATTAAAACTAAATCCTTCTAAATGTATATTTTTGAAAAAAGAAATATTGTATTTAGGACATGTTATTTCCAAAGATGGAATTTTTCCAGACAAAAGTAAGATTGAGGTCATTCAGAAGTACCCTGTACCTAAGTCGGTGGATGAGGTTAGAAGATTCATAGCATTTGCAAATTATTATCGCAAATTTATAAAGAATTTTTCTTCAATCGCGTATGAAATAAATAAGTTATGTAAAAAAGACGTTGTTTTTCAGTGGACAGAGGAATGTCATAAATCGTTCGAACTGCTAAAAAAATTACTTAGCGAACCTAATATCCTGGACTATCCTGATTTTTCAAAAGAAAACATGTTTATACTCCAAACAAATGCTTCAGGAATAGCAGTTGGAGCAGTATTATCAAACGGGAACAATAGACCTGTAGCATATGTCAGTAGGCAGTTGAATAAGTCTGAAATTAATTACCCCACAATCCATAAGGAACTATTGGCAATTGTTTGGGCTGTTAAACATTTCAGACCATATCTCTTTGGCAGAAAATTTAAAATTTTTACAGATCATAAGCCCTTGGTGCATTTATTTGGCATGAAAGAACCAAACAGTAGGTTAACCAAATTTAGACTATGTCTGGAGGAATATGACTTTATTATAGAATATATTAGTGGCTCAAAAAATGTAACAGCGGACGCCTTGTCAAGGATAAGTATGACGTCCGATGACCTGAAAAATTTTAACACATACCAAATAGGGGTAGTAACACGAGCTCAACATAGAGCAACTAGAGGTTCTCAGGTGAATAATTTACCTAGAATAGTAGATATTACAAAGAAGCCGCATAATAGTGTGGAATTAAATATTTGTAGAAAGGAAATATTTAGAAAAATGGTGGGAAATCAGGATATACGTGCTAACAATGATGTTTTCCTTACGGATTCGATAATATACTTTAACCAGGATTCTTTAGTAACGAAGGTACGCATAGACGAATCGTTGCAGGAGCTTGGGGAATTGTGTAGGAAAAATAATATTTCTGAGATTATAATTATCAAAAATAACGACAACAAGTCAATAGTGAGAGAGTTATGTCGTCACACGCGCAGTTATCATACATTACCGCGGTTATGCATATTACAAGGAGTAAAAAAAATAGATGACAGGGAAATGGTAAGAATTAACTAAACGATTTTCATTTGCTACCGACGAGTGGGCATGCAGGCATCACTAGAATGACTACTAATATAAAAAGAAAATATTTTTGGAATAGGATGCATGATGACATTGCGAATTATGTAAAAAATGTAAATACTGTCAGAAACAGAAATACTCTAATAGAAACGTCAAAGAAAAGATGGTCATTACTTCTACTTCTACTTCCGCATTAGATAAAGTTTTTTTAGATATTGTTGGTCCTTTAGATATAGATAGACAGGGTTATAAGTATATATTAACAATACAATGTGAATTATCAAAATTTGTAGAAGCATACCCAATTGTATCTAAGTCAGCAGAAACTGTTGCTAGAAACTTTGTAGAAAACTTTATTCTCAGATATAGCATACCTAGGGAGATTGTATCTAATTGTGGAACAGAGTTTATGAACTCAATTCTAACTAAAGTATGTGAGTTACTGGAAATAAATAAACTAAATAGTACTTCTTATCATCACCAGAGTATAGGGAGTTTAGAGAATTGGCATAAACATTTAGATAGTTATTTAAGAATCCAAACCAATAACCAACACGAGAATTGGAGTACATGGATACCATATTGGTGTTTTGCTTATAATAATACAATTAATATGTCTACTAAATATTCCCCTTATGAATTGGTTTTTGGAAAAACATGTTTATTACCAAGTAACTTATGTAATGATGTTGAACCTTTATATGTGCACGACGATTATCCATTAGAACTAAAATATAGATTACAAATGTCTCAAAGGGAGGCAAGAAATAATTTAATTAAGTCTAAGATATTAAGAAAAGAAATATATGACAGAACTTCCAACCAAATAAGCTAAAAAGAAAATGATTTAGTGTTAATAAAAAATGAGGTTGGAAATAAATTTAGTGAATTATTTAAAGGACCATATAGAGTATTAGAAGATTGTGGAGCAAATGTAAAAATAATAAATAATAAAAAAAAAGTTATATTAGTCCATAAGAATAGAACGAAAAAATTTTTAGAATAAATTGTTTTATGTATAAATTATCAAGTAAATCTTTGGTGATATTTTTATATTTTCCTTGTAAGGTTATACTTCCAGAGGGAGGGGACACCCTCACAATAGACACCCTACTTTTTCAAGGAAGATGTGGTATAGTACGTGAGAATGAACACGTTCAGTAAAAGATTGTGCCAGTGTACGTTTTAACTAACGACACGTAGGTCACACACTAGCTTATATATATAGTTTATGTAATTAGTCTAAGGTAGAGTAATTAAAGATGTAACAGTGAATAAACCAAGTTCAACCCTACTGTGTGTTTACTCTAACCATCGCGCCCCCAACATCACATCGTAACAAATTACGACGGCCTGAGCTGAGGTTCGAACCCCTAGCGGTGCCCTCAGAATAAAATCGTGTCCGTCACGCGGGAATTGGCCTTGAGTCGCTCCATAAGACCTTCCGCGGGTTTGGAGTGCCATCTGCACTCGCCCCTAAGTATTAGAGTAGTCCTCTCTCTTCCTGGCTATATATCCCACATGATGGTTGGGTCAGCTTTCCCTATTTTTGTCCGCCACTTTATCCTGTCCCGGACATCGTCTTCAGAGACCTCACACTCTATCATGTCCCTAGCAACAACATCTTCCCATCCCTTCCTTGGTCTGCCTCTGCCCCTTCGACTAGAAACAGAAAGTTGCAGGGCCAGGCTTCCGACGTAATCAGGAGGTTTTCTCTTCACGTGTCCATACCATCGCAGCCTACTTTCCTGCATTTTTCAGCAATGTTGCGAACAGCCAGACTTGTACGTACTCGTTGCGGATTTTATCGAGCCTGGTTATACCGCACATCCACCTCAGCATCTTCATTTCAGCAACTTGGATGGTATGCACGTTCTTTTGGGTTACGGGCCATATTTCACTGCCATACATAAGAACGGGTCTTATAATTGTTTTATAAATTAACCCTTTGAGTTTAACAGGCATTCTCTTGTCGCATGTAACACCAGTCACTTCTCGCCATTTAAGCCACGCTGCAGCCATTCGGTGTTGAATATTGCATTCTATATTCCCGGAGTTGTGCATTATACTTCCCAGATACTTATATTGATCACACATGGTGATCATTTGCCCTTCAATGGAAATTGGACTGTTATCAGAGGTATCTGGCACATTCATAGCCATGTACTGACTGGGTTTTCGCAATATTCAACACTAGACCACCCATTACGCTATCATATATCAAGAAAGCAGTATGAAAATTAAAATTATAACATTGTCCGCAAATAAACTTATTCTTGGTAGTTTGTATTCACACGTTTCGACTTGTAAATGTAAACTTACAAGGATTATTTAAAAGAGCAACACACAAGTTTCTTGCTCGTTCTTCTTGTGATGAGACAGCTTTCCGAACAAGTGGTAGATAAAAAACAAATTGTTATGACTATTCAAAAGTGCTTAAATTAAGTTTATTTGAATAAATGATTTTCTATTCTATTCTATTCTATTCTTCATCACGGAACCTTGGGCAACTTACAGTAGCAAGTCGAATTGGTGGTTAAGCAAATGGACCATTTTGAAATGCGGAGCCGCCGTAAAATACTCTTGTTGCATGGAGTTCAGGAGCATAGCGGTGGTAATTCCATTCAAGATGTGGTGAGTGTAGTAACCGAAAAACTAAAAATCTCCTACTTCTCAGCGAACAATATCAGCAGAAGCCATCGGGTTGGCCACCAAATTGTTACTGACAAGTCACGACCTATTCTTGTTAAGCTTCACGATTAAGCCTTGAGGAACAAAATCTGGTTCGCCAAAACTGCACTCAGAAACAGTGGTATCACTATATCTGAGTTTCTCACAAAAGTAAGGCACGATGCGTTCATGGTTGCACGGCGTCATTTTGGGATTAAAAAGTGCTGGACCCGGGATGGCCTTGTGGTGGTTGTGGGAGTAGATGGCACGAAGCACAGAGTTAGCACATCTGCGGAGGTTAATAAACTCATTAACTCCTCGCCGTCTGTTACCGGCGAAAGAATAGAATAGAATAGAATAGAATAGAATAGAATAGAATAGAAAATCATTTATTCAAATAAACTTACATTGAAGCACTTTTGAATAGTCATTACATTTTTTAATCTACCGCTCGTGCGGAAAGCTGTCTCATCACAAGAATAACGAGCAAGAAACTTGCGTGTTGCTCTTTTAAATAATTTTATTATTACTTTACATTTTTAAGTTTAAGTGTGTGAATACAAACCACCAATTAGCACTAATTCAATTAAATACTCAAAAAGAAAAAATATTGAATACATAACCAACAGGTTAAACAATTAATAAGAGGAAATCAGTCATAGTGATTAGAGCAGACCAGTCCCTACAAGCAGCACCCGTTCACGAGTATGACGGATGAGCCAGCCATCACTGCGCTCGACCATATTTTAGGGAGCCCAATGACCCGGCCCACCACGCCGCCACAAGTCTGGACATTTTAGTGAGCATGACTACTCAAAACACTAGACTATGTCAAAGCTACTCACAATTGCCATCTGATAGTTATAGTATTCACATTTTACATAAGAATGCATGCGGCAATTAATACAAAAACCGCTACGCTTTCATATTTCTAAAATCAATCAATTAAATCAAGAAAGCAATGAGAAAATAAAATTATAACGTTGTATGCTAATAAACTAATTATTTACTTGATATGTTGTCATCTGTGAATTCGTCTATCCTGTAATAGGCTTTCTTACATAAAAATTGTTTAATATAAGATTTGAATTGCCTCTCTGTCAGATTTAATGCAGATTCTGGCAGTTTATTATAAAATCTTATGCAATTACCATAGAATGAATTACTGATTTTGTGCAGACGGCATTTAGGTAAAATAAGCTTATTTATATTGCGTAAGTTTCTACTTGTACAGTCTTTGAGTTTTTTAAAACTCTCTAAGTTCTTCCGTGTATACATAATATTTTCATAAATGTATTGTGAAGTAACTGTGAGGATATTTGAGTCTTTAAAGCACTGACGTAATGACTCTCTTGAACCCAATAGAACGTATGGCTCTCTTTTGTAAAACAAATATAGTATTTATATCGGCTGCTTTACCCCACAGCAGTATGCCATAAGACATTATGCTATGGAAATAACTAAAATATACAAGTTTAGCCGTCGCCACGTCTGGTTAATTCGCCTAATTCTTCTAATAGCATATGCAGCAGAACTGAGTCTACTGGCCAATTTTGAAATATGGGGCCCCCATTGTAATTTCGAGTCTACTGTAATACCTAAAAAAACTGTATCATTAACAAAATTTACTATTTCGTCATTAAGCAATAACTGTGTATTTATTAGTCTTACATTAGGAAGTGTAAATTTTATACACTTTGTTTTGCTGGAATTTAATAATAGGTTATTACATGTAAACCAATTTAATATTGCAGACATAGCACAATTTACATCGTCTAATTGATTACTTTGACGTCCAATTTTAAACACTAACGAAGTGTCATCCGCAAACAGCACTATATCTGCAATTTTCTCTACCATAAAGGGAAGGTCATTTATGTAGATTAAAAAGAGAAAGGGGCCTAAGATTGACCCTTGTGGAACGCCCATCTTAATATTAGCTCCCTTAGATTTTACACCGTCAATATCTACAGTTTGGACCCTATCCTCTAAATAAGTTCTCATTAATTTTAGATCATTATCTCTTATACCATAATGTTCGAGCTTGTACAAAAGCGTTTTATGATCCACACAATCAAATGCCTTTGATAGGTCACAAAAAACTCCGAGTGCATCCTGTGACTTTTCCCAAGATTCGAAAATATGTGTCATTAGCGCAACACCTGCGTCAGTGGTAGACTTGCCGGCGGTGAAACCATATTGCTGACTGTGAAGCAGTCCGTTAACCCTGAAGTGTTGTAACATTTGATTTAACATTATCTTTTCAAACACCTTACTTAGAACTGGCAAAATAGATATAGGTCTATAGTTCCCTGGCTCAAATTTATCTCCTGATTTAAATAGTGGGATTAATTTACTAAATTTCATTAAATGTGGAAAAACGCCATTATCAATACATTTATTAAAAATAGTGGCTAGATATGGAGCAACAATTTTTATTTATTTATACTCTTTATTGCACCAATTACAGAACAAAAACAAACAAAAAAAAAACAATTAAAATGGAAAATATACACTGATACAAAAGGCGGTCTTATCGCTAAGCAATCTCTTCCAGACTACCTTTGGGTGGATAGAGAAATAAAAATAAGAACAGGGTAGGTGGCGCACGTAATAAACAAAAATAAATATATATGACTCAAATATACATAAATATAAACATACACACACATTAATACATATATACATACACATACATATACTTAATAGTGCACATACATTCGGAAAGAAGAGATATATAAGAGACACACATACATTTGGAGAGAAGAGATAAGGAGAATAATAAGAAATTAATTAAAGAGATATAAAATGGGATTTGACAGAGGCTTTAAAGCTGGCAAGCGATTGAATGCTCCGAATGCTAGAGGGCAGTGAGTTCCACAACCTAACGGCCTGGACAGAAAAGGATTTAGAATAGAAGGAAGTGGAATGAGAGGGAAATCTTAGACGGAGATAGTTAACATTACGCGAGGAGTGGCTGTTGTTCTCACTGAGAAATGTGAAACAGTCTTTTAGGTAATAAGGAGTAACTGAGTTAAAAAGAATGCTGTAAAGGAGTGATAGGATGTGTAAGTTGCGACGAAGACGGATAGGGAGCCACTTAAGTTGAGTACGATACTGGGAGATGTGATCATATTTGCGCAGACCAAATATGAAGCGAATACATAAATTTTGAAGTCGCTCAAGTTTATTTAATTGCTCTTCAGTGAGATCCAAGTAGCAGCAGTCAGCATAATCGAGGATAGGAAGGAGTAAGGAATGAGCAAGTGCAATTTTGGTATCAAAAGGGAGAAAGTTACGCAACCTGTTCAAGCCACCAGCAGCTGCAAACATTTTCCTACTAACCTCAGAGACTTGATGAGACCAAGACAACGTACGATCAAATACAATACCAAGATTTTTAACAGATTTCCTATATTCAATTAGAACCCCGTCGAAGACTACAGGCGGAAGGTCATTCCAAGAAATTTGAGAAATATATCTGGGGCTACCTATAATAATGGCTTGTGTCTTCGAAGGGTTCACAACAAGGCCGTATGACTCACTCCAAACAGATAAACGCCTAAGATCGTCATTGATAGTGGATATGGCTTGAGTTATATCTACCAGACCAGCCTGAGTGTAGATTTGGAGATCGTCTGCATAGAGATGGTAGGAAGACTGAAGTTTTGAAGTGATTGAGCTAATAAACAATGCAAATAAAAGGGGAGATAAGACACCACCCTGAGGTACGCCAGCTGACGTAAGGCACCACGAAGACAGAGCGTCATCGATGCGAATACGCTGCCGACGCCCCAACAGGTAACTACGAAACCAGTCAATAGCCGTTGGAGATATGTTGAGAGAGGATAATAGGCCTAATAAGATGTCAAAATCCACAGTATTAAATGCGTTACAGAAATCAAGTAAAGTGAGAACAGTAAGCTGAGAGTTCTCCATGCCAAGACGAATATCGTCAGTTATTTTCACAAGAGCGGTAGTCGTACTGTGACCGGGGCGGAAACCAGATTGTAAAGGATTTAGGAGACTATGTCTGGTTAGGAATGAATTAAGCCTTAGTTGAACCAAACGTTCTAAGGCTTTGGATAGGAAAGGGAGTATGGAAATAGGACGATAATCGGCGAATGAGGTAGGAATATTTTTTTTGGGAAGAGGAATAATGAAAGCATCTTTCCAATTGGAGGGAAAGACGCCAGAGGACAAAGACTTATTGAAGAGTAAAGTAATGGAGGGCAAAAGGATATCAAGAATAGGCAAGATCATATTACGACTAACGCTGTCGCTACCTACAGCATTTGAAGAAATTGAAAGCAAACTCTTCTCAACATCACAATCGGTCAATTGATCAAAGAAAAAAGGAGAGCAGTCAGGGGTGGATAAGAAGGAAAGATTACGTAGTGTATTAGATTTTACAGTAATATCTATAGCAGGAGATGAACAGAAATGTTGGTTGAGACATTCGATATCCATAGTAACAGGGTTATCATTACTTTTTTTCCCAACCCCTAGTGACTTGAGAAATTTCCAGACTTTAGCTGGATCACCGTTTTCAACGGATTTGTGAATGTGGCGTCTTTGGGCTTCTCTACACATCCTATTACAGAGATTCCTGGCGCTGATATAATCATTCCGACATCTGTCCGGGTCTGACCTAAATTTGGACTTAGCTTTATTCTTTTTCAGTATCATAGTCTTGATCTCATCTGTAAGCCAGGGTGCAGGCAAATGCTTAACCCTGACAGGGCGGACAGGAGCATGTTTATTGTAAAGATCTGTAATTAATTTATTAAATCGTTCAACTTGATCGTTTACGTCAGATAGAGTACCAATAGTAGACCAACTACATTCTGAGGCGTCTTTGCGCAAACAGTCCATATCGATAGCACCAAAATTGCGCTGCATAAGGATTTTACGTTTAATTTTAGGAGGACGAATTTTATAGGAGAGGTAAATAAGGTTATGGAAGGAAAAACCATCAGCAGGCAGCTGACCAAAATTAGCGACAAGGTCAGGAGATGAGACGAGGATTAAATCGAGCAAGGAAGGATTGCAGCTAGGAAAGAAATGGGTAGCATTTAGAGGTAGGATATGCAGGTTGCAGGCGTTGACTACAGATTGAAGACGATTTGCCCGGGAGTCATTTTTTAAAAGGCAGGTGTTAAAGTCACCCATAATAATGGTATGACTATAGGAAGGAAGGAGGTTCTCTAGGAGTTGCTCAAATAAGGAAAAATAGTCAACCGTAGGTGACGGGCTATAGAACACTCCTAGAAGAACTTTAGTATGGGAGAGTGTGACTTCTATAAAAAGATGCTCAGGTTCATGGGAAGGATTAGTGCTGAAAGAGGAATTAATCAAAACGAAAGGGATATCGGAACGCAGGTATATGGCAACACCACCGCCACCTCTGCCAGTGCGATCACAGCGAACAAGATGGAAACCAGGTAAAGAGTAGGAAATTGAAGGAAGACACGGCTTTAGCCATGTCTCGGAAATGAAGATAGCGTGAAGATTATTTACGTTAAATGTTGAAAGCATTTCAGGAAAGTGTGCAGGAATACTTTGCGCGTTAATGTGAACGGCATTAAAGTTTTTAGGTACTTCAGAAAAGGTATTATTTAAAATTTCATCCAAGGGAAGAGACGCGCTGTGAAAGCTGTCATCGCTGGTATGATCCGAAATAGAATTAAACGTGTCATCACCATCACTATCAATATACATGTGTGCACAAAAATATAAATACAAAATACAATATATATAAAAAAGAAAAACAATAATATAAAAACAAAAATTAAACTAATATTCTTCTCTGAGCGTCTACCTGCTAGTAGTTGGAATTTGATAATAAATATATATATGTACATATGAAAAGAGAAATTACATCATAATAATACCAAAAATAACAATAACTTAAAGATTAAATTTAGGTGGCAATATTAAAAACTATGGCTGTATCAATATAATGCCAAATGGGCTAAGTTGGCTATTTTAGTCTAATCTACCATAAATACTTATTTCAATATAACAACTGTCAACGTCAGTGCTGTCAAAGTCATAACTGTCAGAAATGCCGAATCTCAACCAAGTGAAAATAATTGAAAATGTTTTTAATGTGGGTTGATAATAGAAAAAGTAAAAATTTTAAAAACGTCACAAGATACAAAGAAAATTAAAAAATACATTAGTTAAATTTACCTACCCACTGAATTTGGTAAAATATAGAACAAACCCTACGTAAATAATACCGCCACCACAACCACTACAACAGTTTGCCGAGGAACAGATTATTTCTTCAAAATGCGCTTAGATCGCGTTACAGCTGCCATATCGGATGTCTTCTGGGCGGTGACGAGCTGGGAAGTTGTAGGCAGCGTCGTATTATCACACACAACACTCTGAGACAAATTAATGAGCCGGTTTAGGTCGGCACCTGAACTGACTTGATGTTTTTTACCGTCAGTTCCGATGATCAGCACAGCTCCATTTTGTGTCCAGCACTTAGATATACCAAAGTGTTTCCGCGCATTCATAAAAGCCTCATGTCTGACTTTAGTGAGGAATTCAGACATTGTGATACCACTACTTTTAAACCCAGTTTTCGCTGTCCACACTTTATTGCGCACCTCAATGCTGCGAAATTTAACAAGGATGGGACGAGGTTTCCCTCCAGTTACACGGCCCATATGATGTATTCTACTTATATTGTCTAGTGAGATGGATACTTTAAGTTTCTCAGCAAACAACTTAGTTACTTGAAGAGTCAAATTAGCGTCACAGTCTTCACGAATCCCATGAATCAACAATATCTTGCGCCGACTGTGCATTTCAAGATGATCTTGCTGTTGTGCCAAAACTTGAACTTGATGTTGGAGATTAATCAATGAGTCTCCGATCAAAGACTTAAAATTAGAGAAATCTGCAGCAAGTGAAACCAAGGTAACTGGAGCACCACTGGCTTTCTCAAGGTTATCCTGGAAGGCTGCCATCCTTGTATTAAAGTGCTCCATCATCTGCTCCAATGACTGCTGTATAGTGTCCATTGATGATGTAATTTAAAGTTGTTAAAAGTGAAAGTGCGAAGGAGATAACACTACTGCAGGTAGATCACCACTATACTTATACTTTATGCATAAAATATAATGCAAATAATTGGTAATTTAAAATTAATCAATTAAATAAGTAAGACCAAAGTTTCTATGTGTTTAGTGCTTCACAGCTACCCTCAAAAAAAAAAAAAAAATAATAATATCTATGAAAGAACTAACTACTTTTACAGACATGCCCCAAAGGTCTTCCGTATTTTTTAAATTTAGCTGTTTGAATATTTTTATGATATGTGACATGTGAAAATTTAAATCTTAAAGAACAACAACCGATATTAGTCTCTAGTAATTTTTTTGCTCGAGATTGAGATGAGTCCAGAGAAGATGTAATATCAATCGGAATATTAACAAAAAAATCTTCAAAAATATTAACTACATCTTTTGTTGTTGTTATTAATTTATTATCATAATTTAATTGTAAATTGATTACAGGCTATTTTAGATCTTCCAGTTTCTTTATTTATAATGCTCCAGGTTTTAATTTTGTCAGAAGACTGCTTAATTTGTTTATTAAAATAATTAGACTTAGCCATAATACAAACTTTTTTAAAAATTTTAGAATAATTTTTCACATAAGTGGTGAATTTGTCATCAAATCGATATTTTTTTTGATCGTATAAATCAAACAAAATATTTCTACTTTTAAGTATTCCTACTGTTGCCCATTCCGTGAATTTAGATTTAACATGAACTTCTTTTTTCTTGAAAAATTGTTCATATTCTCCGGATAAAATATTAATTAGCTTGGTGTAAAGATAATCAGGATTATTACTAGATTGTAACAGCAAATCCAATTTATTTTTAATCGCGCTTTTGTATTTATTAATATTGTAAACATTTATTTGTCTTTTTGATTTTTTATTATTGTTGACTTTATTGATTTGACTGCTAAACTTAACAACTTGATCGCAGTGATCTGAAGGAAGTTTATTTATTATGAATTTTTCTGTATATTCACAGTTACAAAAGACATTGTCAAGACAAGTAGCAGACGTGGCAGTTACACGAGTGGGTTCATGAAAGACATGACATAAATCAAACGACTGAAATAAACTAATAAATTTTGTACATGTGGGTGTGTTACAAAGAATATCAACGTTAAAATCTCCACATACAATAATTTTTTTAATACTATTAAATACTTTTTTTAAAATATCCTCCATCACCCCTTCAAAAACATTGTAATCACTATTAGGAGGCCTGTACACACATATAAGGATATAATTTTCTAGTTCTATACAAGATAATTCTATACAACACTCAATAGAAAGTCTAACAATGTCAGCACGGGCCTTTACTTTAATATTATTTCTTGCAATTATCATAGACCCGCCTCTGTTAACTGACTTTCTATTGAAGCAGCTGACAACGTTATAATTATTTAAATTGAACATCATATTGCTCTCTTTAAGCCAATGTTCTGTGAAACAGACAATATCAATATTATACTTTTCTAAAAATAATTGTATAATTAACTCGCTGCCGGGAAAACTTTGTATGTTCTGATGAACAATTATTAATTCTGATTGCTTTCCCTTTGTCTTTGTGAGCAGTTTAAATCTGCAGTCATAGTACTTATGTCACAAATATTAATAGAATTATTTGTTATGTCAGTATTTTTATGTTTAAGTTTACCATGTAAACTGTTCATGTAGTCAATATTATAAGCCACTAAAGTGGCTATTTTATTTTTAGATGATTTAGAAAGATACATTGTATCTTTTGTCAAATAAAAATCACTAATAAAACTATTAGTATCAAAAAATGTAAAAACGTCACTATGACGACATGTCAATGTATGTAATAAGTTATTCAGGTAATGTACCTTACCGTTAATTTTTTTATGAAGATGTCTATTTGTGTAAGGAAAAGCGCACAATACAATCTTATACACATTTAATTGTAAGAAATATTCAATCCCTTTAATTACATCCTGCCTATTTAATTGAATACTATTACCAAAAAATAACACAATTGTGGTCATATTGTTCATTTTCGTAGACTTAATTTTATTTATTATTTGTGTAAATGATGCTTCTGGCATACAGTAGTTTAATAAATCACCCTTAAGATGATACTTCAAAATAGACCCAAAGTTACAGCCTATTCTGTCAGAGAACACCATTGTGCTACTCTTAGGGTTACAGTCACTGGCACAAACACCCTGAACTTCATTTTCCAGCACAGTTACAACTGAATTATTATTTGATATATTTGTGTGATTACATGTACAATGCTTAGTCAACGACTCAAAACGGTCAGCATTGTATTTACTAACATCAATCAGATCATCCATTGCTAAAATATGCTCCTGGATTTGTTTCTGAGAGATAATATACTTTGTATTTAAATCATGAAGCGAAGATTCTAAACTATTGATTTTTGAAGTTAGGTAGTCTGTATCAATGTCATATAACTTTTGGCTTTCCACTACCTTATTATTACACTTATTAATGTAATCATGCAATTTTAAATTATTCAAAGTGTTTTTTTTTTCAATAATTGTCCCTTTTTGCAACGCTTATTTAATATATTCCGATTCCTAATTATAAACTTTTATAGTTTTAAATATTTTTTAAATTTATTATTACTCAACATACAAATGTTACTGTTATAGTTGCCTAATTTAGGTGATGTATCACTAGTAAGGTCAATTACAACAGGATGGGTGCATGGAACTGTAGTAGAAGGAGGCACACAGTTAACACTAATAAGTTCCTCATATAAATTACTAATCTCATTACTTTGTCGAGATTCCAATCTTGTGTCTAGATCATTGATTTTAGAATATGCCTGCTTTAACTCAAGTTCCAATTCAGTGATACGCCTCAAGGCTTGCTCATGAGTGTCACTACATTGATGAAAGCTACTTATTAGTTCTTGAAGCTGATCCCGCTGCTCAATAACTTCCTGATGGCTATTATGAAGTTCTGACAATTCTGATTTTAATTGGGTATTTTTATTTATAATTTTTAAAATTTCATCTTCACTCTCTTCTCTCTCCCTGATCAACTTGTCACTGAGATCTTTGGATGCCTGAAGTTCTTGTAGGGCCACTTTAAGCTTCAT